TTTATAACATCAAGTAACTAATTAAAACCAAACTGAAAGTAGGCTATAATATTGATGTACAAGACAATTTGGTAGTGAATGTTCGGGACACCCAGCCTGAAACTGGGACAATCCTAGACAAACTGGGACGTCTAGTCACCATATCTTTTGTGAAACAGATATCTTGACAAGGAAAAGCTATTTGCAAGGCTTACCCTTTAATACAGGCTTTTATGTCTTGTAAGGCCTTCCGTATCACAAGTGAACAAGTGATCTCTGACTCTGTGAAGAACAGGTTCACTTGAGCCCAAGGGCTGCTGTCGACTTTTACTCTGCATTTGCAGCTCTCTGTAACGATTGGTTGTTCTAATTGGATTAACTTATCTGAGTGTTTCCTGAAAGTGATAGAAATTCAAGCTTTCTACTCCCTCTTTTCCCCCGCCCCTGCAGCCTCTCCGCAGTTAGAGGTAGCAGTGCATGTCTAATGGAGGCTCCATGAGGTTAACTTCTGCACTCATTTGTTTTGCAAGCCTCTCTCCGTGGCTCCCCGTTCACGTCCTAACATTCAGGACGTCTCACTGACAAATCATTTACAGATGCTTTTCAGCTCAGCGCATTCGCTTAACAAGCATGTAACAGCAGCCCGGGCTCAGGAAACCTTGTGAGATGAGCATGATGTCTTAAAATGCAAGCACTCTGTGAAATAGGTTTCCCCCAGCAGGACTGTATTAGACAGAGCCAGGCAGCAGTTTGACTTCCAAACAGTACGGTGGAAAGTAAAAGTGTGGATGTGTCGAGGGGGTGATGGACACATACTTCGGTCTTAACTGCCTTGAAATTAGTGACCTCAGTTCAACCCCCAACTAAAACCGGAGACTTTGAGTAATCGTTTTCAGCAAATATTTTTCCCTTTTAACCATGACTCACACTAATTCCACTAGATTTTGAACCTAAACTCAAACATAAGTAATTTTCACATCAAAAAAGTTCTAATTCAGTGTTGATTGTTCATCTGTCGCTTCTATCTATAACAAAAATATATGTCAAATAATCATGTTTTAGTATTTACATTTCAAAATCTGGTAACCTGATGAACAAAGGTTCAATGTGTAACATTTAGGAGGATCTCTTGTCAGAAATGGAATATAATATTCATAGGTATGTTTTCATTAGTCGATAATTTTTCACAGCAGCCATTTTGAGATGAAATAGTAGGGTAAACACAGGTGTTACCAATGAGGTTACATTCCATTCAGGTCAAACAGAGTCTGTTCTGTATTGTCAAGAAAAACTCCTGGAAAATGTCCAATAGGAATATTACAAAACAATGACAAAAAAAGAAAAACAAACAAACAACAAAAAAGGAATAATAATGAACATTAGAAGTAAATATAAAAACAAATCAAATAAAGCAAGAAAAATGAAGTAGCAAAATAAAGTACAGATATGGTTCAGTGGTTGGAGGTATCAGTAGAAACTGAGATGAGATGAAATGTCACATTTAGAATTTCTTATAGTAGTGTGAACGTGAAAAAAAAAGGTAACTGGGGGAAGAAAAAGAACAGAGAGAGAAATAAGACACAAATTAAACTCAGAGAGGGGAGAAACATTTGTGTGTGTTAACAATTTCTTATAAAGAGAATTCTGTACAATCAGCTTAAAATAAGATGAGCAAGTCCTCCTCGTAGTGTGTTTACATTTACTTGGCCTGGAACAATCCTACTGGCTGAAACATTGTCTGATTCAGATTGTACAGTTGCTGAGAGAAACACGGACAGCAAACAGAAGTAGAACATTTTGGTGTGATCCCCTCGTGCAAAAACAACAGGAAGCACAAATGCAGGTTGGCTAATCTTGTACTGTTAACGACTGAGCTTTGGAGCATGCCCAGTAAGGAAATCTGAGATCCTCATTGTACCCAAGCCCAGACAGGTGAGGGGCCCGCTGTTGGTTAAAAGAATGCTCTGGTAGCATGTACACACACACACACACACACACACACACACACACACACAGATATAAATCCCACACTCTTTCTGTATCTTAAAGGTATACACAAAATAAAAATGTATCAAATTAACTAGTTAAAGATAAATAAAAGAGTGAAATAAATGAAGTCAACTGAGTGGTGATAGAATTAAATTAAAAGCTACCTGGCTGTATGTCTTCATTTATTTTTTAACTGCTGTTACAGCATTCTGTCAGTTTTGCCCCATAGGGGGGACATGCATGACAGACAGACCGTAAGTCAGTTTAATGTCAGTCCATCTAATAGTTATCTGAGATATTTCCCAAAAAAATCTGAAACATGAATCTCATTCTAGTGCTAGGTGAACAGTCAGGGGATCAGCAAAGTCACTGGGGTTCATATTTTGGGGGCCATAAATGTCTGCACCAATCCGTAGTAATAGTAGTTGAGATATTTCAGTCTGGACCAAAGTGGTGGACCAACCAACCAGTCAACAATGTCATTCCAAGAGCATTGCAAGCGTGATTAAAAAAGATTAATCGCAGTTGTTAGTCTGAACTTCACAACAAAAATCAAGAGATCCCTGGCTTAATCCTGCATTCTTTCTAATGTCACAGGATTTAAGAAAAAAATCTTCTG